AATCAGATGGACAGGGAATAGGTTTTATATAGAGAGGGTTTCATCTGTCTTTCAAAAACATGTAGGGTTTTGGGTCTATTAGCACAAAACCAAAGATTATTTTCATGTTTAATCTATAACATATCAGTTTCTTTAATGGCTTCTTGCTTGTTTTGTTTGACAAACATTATAAAATCCTATCACATATTTCCGCATTTTAGCCAGTAAATTGATTTATTACTCAACTATAAAGCGATTAATCAACCACCTTGTCAGTACTTTTGTATATATTTTATGCTTAATTTGTATATAGCCTACTGCTAGTTCATAAGAGATGAATTACAAACATGTCAACATAAAGGTCTAGGTATACAAGCACTCATGAACGTTAGCATCCCAAGGGCTCTCTCAACAAAAAATCAATGGGACTTTTCCATTGGATTTTGGATAATTGCAAGAAACAGGAAGTGCTAAAATGCTGACTCATTTCCAGGTTGAGGACTCATTCCTGCACCACAATGCCTCAAGAAGAACCAAGTGATCCATTCCGCATAAGGTCAACTACATTAACAAGGCATTAACACACCTATAGGGTTGGGGGATCAATTCCCAGTGAATAGCTTTATTTGCACACAATTGGATACTTAGGTGTGTCGCAAAATGAATGTAGGTCAATGTGGAAAGCAAGGCATTATCAAACACTGTAATGGTTTAGCTCCCAGTTTAACTCCAACAATTGAGCAAGTCATTGTTTCTGAATGGTTTTCCTTCTAAGTCAAAGGGTGGAGCTAATGGCTAAGCTACTATAACACAATTCCTTTGGTGATTAATTAAGCAAGGCATCATCCCCAGAGGGAGTTGGGGGTCAATTTCCACTATATTCTTACTGATTTTAGGGTAAAATACTACATGAAATGCTAGATTAGAGGCAAATTATGTTTTTTTTGTTTTATTCTAATGAGATGTTCTCATCTTCAAACCTGAGGCTACTTCTCATTATTAGGGGAATACAATCAGAGGTTTAACCCAGAATTAAGACTGACAGGCACATTTCTCTCTAAAACCACCCAAATCCATTTAGAAATCATGAAACGTTGCCATGAAACCGCCTTTAAGATCTCCGGAATGAATATAAAGTGTGATCCTTCCTCTCTGCTTGAATGTCGAGAGGAGCAGAAGATTTAGGGAGGGGTCCGGCTCTTTCATGTCTACAAAAAACCTCCAGGAGAAGCCGGCCGATGAATCACACCGGCTGATATCACCGTGAACATTTTCCAATTTGAGCCGGGTACACATGCACTAATATTCGGACACATTCATAATGCTTTGTATGCAGAATACATCGCACATGGAGAGACAAATTAGCTCTTTCTTAATGTTTTGTATCGGCTTACCTCCGTGTGTGTGTGCGGCTCCTCGCATCCCTCCATCTGCGCGGATGAAGAGCAGGGAAGCATTTTCAGGAAAAGATCAAGTTGATTATTATTATAGTCCTTCTTTAAACCCAGGCGACGTTATTCAGCTTTATTCTAGCAGCACATGACAGGATCCGAGCCCATTATCCTTTATTTCTCTGCCAAGCACATGGGATGGAGAGCTCGGTGTTTCTGATCCTCCTCCTCCTCTCTGACAGCATCATCTGGTCCCTGAGCCCCTCCTCCTCCTCCTCTTCTTCCTCCTCCTATTCCTCCTCTTCTCCCAGTGCTGCAGGCGGACTAAACCATTTTGCAAAGCGAGATCTCATAAAGACACGTTCTGCAAGCTAATTACGTTAGATTTGATTTATGTTTGAATGTATTTCCTCTTGCACATCTTCAATTAAGCCCTAAACTAAAATGTCCCTTATTGGGATCAATAAAGTATCTATCTATCTATCTATCTATCTATCTATCTATCTATCTATCTATCTATCTATCTATCTATCTATCTATCTATCTATCTATCTATCTATCTATCTATCTATCTAATATTAGACCGCAGTGAAGTTAGTTTCAGGTTGGATGAGCGTCAGTTTTCTCGCTCTATCTTCTCCGCGAAACGAGGCTTTCATTTAGGGACCATCAACAAATGACTTTTCAATGACACAAGAACAATGTTCGTTTTAATAAATCGACATCTTCCCGATCGTGTGAATGTGAAACAAATCCACTCTAGAGCATACATCATGTATTTTGTCTTTTAATGTTGATTTTGTTATCTTTGCTTTTGAAGGACTTTTTTTAAATGCCATTTTCTTAATGTCTTACATTTTTGTAAAGCACTTTGAATTGCCTTTTGTTGATGAAAGGTGCTATATAAATAAACTTGCCTTGTCTTGCCTTACATTTGTTGAACACACCACTTTTAATTAGATTTTGATTCTCATAATAATATTTTATATTTGTGGAAACATTAGAATAATGATTCAATATCAGTAGGCCTACTGGATCAAACTACACTGGCTGCAAAGGACACACCTCTTTTTATTGCATTTTAATACTTTAAATATGTTGTATTAGTATTATTTATGGGAAACATCATCATATTTCTTCAACAACTTCCAGGTCATGTGAATAGTTTTGCTGTTTATTCTATAAAAAATAAACCTATTGCATATTGTGCCTGTAATTAAATGAGTTTAATATAGGGCTTTTGATACCTCTATTTTTCTTATTATAAATACAAAATGGGTCTGAGAAGAAAAATACCAGATATCAAACAACCAGTGAGTAAAACTGGATCAGGAGTTTTATTTAACTTTAGGAACCAGAAACTTATTTCTTTCTTTATTAAAATTGAAAATATATCCCACTTTCCTTCTTAAGTGACTTTTATAACATTGAAGGAACATTACACGATTGTTTTTGGTAGATTAATGAATGTTAAAAATATAACTACGTGTACACAGTCAAGTACTGTTCTTAATAACTGTTACGGTACGTCCACACGGCAGTGTCGCGTGCTTCAACAGAGAAGCTTCCCATTCACTTTGAATGGGGTGACGTCATGCTTTGCCTCCGTTGCTCGCTTCGAAAGTTGAGAAATGTTCAACTTTTCAAGCTTCGACGGAAGCGCTAGCCAATCAAATCATATGCCAGTACAAGCTCTAGCCCAGGGGTGCCCAATACTTCGATCGCGATCGACCGTAGTGTGGGTAGATCGCAAGTCATTGAAAAAAAAAGAAAAGAAAAAAAGTTAGCCTGTCATCCATCCTTACTATGGCATTTGCCACTTGGTTGACGTAAAGGTAAGCCAGTCTGAGATCTCATCTTTTCTAACACGCAGTTCACCACGCATGCACGGTCAACCGCGCCAGCTGCAAATCACCGGCGAGCTGATTACCTAGTTAGCCTTCCAATTTATACAATTCTACTAAAGAAAGGGTATAAAATTGACGTAATGACCAAACATTTACTGAGTTGTATTGTGCCATATGGGTTCATGCAGTTATGCGAGGTACACCAACATAAGGTATACTCAGCATTTATATAAATAAACATTTGTTTAGCTTTTTAAAATGTAGGTAGACAGGCCCGCCCCTCCCTACACACAGATCAAGCAGACTGCGTGGGACATCACCATTGCGGAGGAGGCGTCACCTCCGAAGCGCAAATGCGGCGCACCTATATGAGCTTATGCGGCGCAATTGGTGTAAGTGCGCCACAGTTTATCCGCTGCTGCGAGGTTCCGGCGCTCGCAGTCCACTAGCTAGTGTATGATATATATTTTCAGACCTGGATACATTTATTTGACATTACAGCAATTATACCTGACATGTTGGAATGTACTTTGACAAGCCAAACATGGTTTATTTTGCACAAAACATATTTACCACTTTACCATGTGCTTCTCTCCATCACAGCCACATAGAAATGATGAGTGCCTCCTGAATGTATGGTCACATGACAACAAATGTGCACAGTTCCCTAGATAAAGGGAGTGGGTCAATTTACCCACTGGCTCATTTACCCCACTCTCCCCTATTGATTAATCTGAGGGGATCAAAGCCAAAATGTTGAAAAGATGTTGGCTTAATGTCGACTAACAATTATTCACCAAGTGAAAACGTCTCAAACTGTGACAGGAATATACCAACAAGAGCCACGTTCATTTCATATCTCTCTTTACTTTTCTCTAATTTCTCTAATACTACCCTATGTACGTCTCCTAATCCCTAATATTCTTATTTTCATTCCTCACAGTGCTCTCTTTATTTCTCCCCCCCTTGTTCTCTTCTCGATCGTACCTTCTCTGCTTGTGTTTAGTATGTGCATGGAGGAAGTTGGCACACAGCGAGGAAATTAAATTTGGTTTTCAAATCCTGCTATGTGATCGATTGAGCTGGTCTCAGGTGATGAAGCATCTCTGTCTGCTGTAACGCATCGAAACAGAGGCAAGTTGTTGATGTTTTTTTGTTAACCTCTTGCTTGAATGCAAAGGGACAATTGAATCCCTTTCAAATTAAGTACTTCAAACACTAATGAGTTGATTAGTCAGACATTCAGAGGGGCAACAGTTGTGTACTACATGACGCCAACATTGTGAAATATTCCAATTTGGAGGAAACTGAGAGGTACGAGTAAAAATAAAGATGGACTGCAGTTATTAGACGTATTATACTGTATACAGTATCTGCTTTTAAAACTCTGTCCATTCAGTTCCGGTAGTCACTTACTTACTTAAATATTCCTTTTACCAGTGTGCTAGGTTTGATGTTCAGGTCATGCCCTCAGTGAGACTTGTTGTCTCGTGGGGCATTCATGTGCTGTTGCAATCTATCTTTCATTGCTTGTGAGCTGTACGTCTATATTGAGAGAAAATGGGACTGTAGATAGGTAAAGCCTTTTCAAATATTGGACCCTCGGAAAATAGTGAATGTTGTGGAAAAGCACAGAAAAACTTAGAAAAGCACAGAAAAAACTAACCAAAGCTGTTATTCTACTTCAAAGACGTGCCACATTATGACTGTGTTCTTCTTTGATTTCACATTCTCTTAAAAGCATTACTTGTATCTAAGGTCTTGAAGTGTGAGTGAATACTGAATGAACAGTGTGTTTGCTCAGTATGAAAAGTGATCTACTGCAGGTCTTCTTCTCTTGTGATTTCCCAGCTGGTTTATACACAGTTATGAGTTTCAAATATCCAATATTTTGCAGAAGTGCTCTAGTATCTGTATTTTCTTCTGACACCAGTTCTCTTGTATTCTCTTTAGATCCCACCTCCACGATCCATGTATTTGTCAGTCTCTTCCTCCGCCCACCTGTCGGCCATGTCGCTGAAGGTGCAGACCAGCAACGTGACCAACAAGACGGATCCAAAGTCCATCAACTCCCGGGTGTTCATCGGCAACCTGAACACTGCAGTGGTGAAGAAGTCGGACGTGGAGACCATCTTTTCAAAGTACGGCCGGGTGCTGGGCTGCTCCGTGCACAAGGGCTACGCCTTCATCCAGTACGCCAGCGAGAGGCGCGCCCAAGGGGCCGTGATGGGGGAGAACGGGAGGGTGCTAGCCGGACAGACGCTGGGTGAGTCACACTGCGGGAATTATATCTTTACTCACACAGCAGGAAATGTTGACTTTAATTAAATGTAATATGTCAACAAGTTTCAAATAACTGTATTAAGTTAGTAGGAAGCAATAACATTAAAGGTCCCATCATATGCTTTTCGGGTTATTACCCGTCCCCTTGTGTGTTATGTAGGTTTTTCTGCATGTAAATGGTCTGCAAAGTAACAAACCCTCAAAGTACACCCTGTTGGGAGTAAAACTCTAACACAGAAAAGACTGGGGACTGGCTTCAGTAGAAGCTGCTGGTTAGCGTCTTCCGAGTAAATCGCCAGAAGCAATGACACCTCCTCATCTCCACCGCTCCCATGTTTTATTTTGTGTTGCCATAAGTTAGTCTCTCTCTGTTGGTGCGCTGGGCTAATGGTAATGCTAATAATGCTAATGCCAGCAAATAAAATGGCGGCTTCACAAAACATTTCGGAGTTTTACGGGGCGTGGTTTGCAATTCGCCCAGACAATCAGAAATTGTTAATGTGGCCGACACAGCCACGAGCCTTTTTCTCCCCAGGAAAGTCCCTGCTCTCTAGCAGGAACTATCCGGGGGGGAAAAGGTTCACGCAAACTAAGTTCTAGTTCCAGATCTTTTGGGTGTGAACGCAAAATCCCAAGAACTATCGGAACTATTCCTGGGAAAATTACTCCGGTGTGAAAGCGCCTATTGCAATCTCTGAGACCTGACAAACTGACTCAAACACTGTTGACAATTTTTTACCCGATCATGTGGCTTTTTATATGAATCGCAAACTCCAAAGAGGTGGAGGGGTTGCACTGTTTGTTAAAAACACACTTTCTGCCAGATTGTTAGAAAGTCTCTCCATCTGCTGTAATAACCTATTTGAATCTGTCACCGTAGAAATTGAGCTAAAACAGAACAAACATATATTCGTCTCATGCATGTATAGAAAGCCAGGAAGTAATCCTGAGGAATTTAATTAACAAGAAGAAAAAATGCTCAGACCTCATGGAAATAAAAACCTTTATGTGTGTGGACATTTCAACGTTAATTTATTCAAATACAACTCGCACCAACAGGCGAGACACTTCATGGATATGTTTTTTTCTCTCTGGCTTCTTCCTCTTATAACCAAACAAACCAGGTTAACTAGCACTACTGAAACCTTAATTGTAGGGCTGTCAATCGTTTAAAAATATTTAATCGCAATTAATCGCATGATGTCCATAGTTAATCGCAAATGAATCGCACATTTTTTATCTGTTCTAGATGTACCTTAGAGGGATATTTTTCAAGTTTTTAATATTCTTATCAACATATGAGTGGACAAATATGCTTTATGCAAATGTTTGTTTATTATCATTTGAACAATGATATATATAATCTCATGAATATTAAACACAACAACCTCTGAACATTACAAATCGCCTCAATTCAACCTGGAACCTCTCTCATACAAGAAAATAATACAATACAAAGTGCCTGTGCGTGTGTGTGTGTGTGTGTGTGTGTGTGTGTGTGTGGTGGGGTGGGGTGGGGTGGGT